CTCCCATAATATGAAGAACTAGCTTAACCGTTCGGTTCTAGGTTGGACTACATATTGAGCAGCTAGCTCAAGCGGACAGGAGACCGATCTACCTAGCTTAACTGCCCATTCCTAGCTCATTTTTTTTTGCTTGGGTTATTTTTTAAAAAACCGAAGGCAGTTTAGACGCGCCTCAATTTTATTCGAGGGTGTAGCGAGTGATCACAGAATGACCCACGCTAATAAGATATCGAGATAAAAAATTCACTTTTCATATCGTTACACCCGAATGTCCCGTCCAAGGGACAGTGAATTCACAGCACCTTTACGCAAAGAAGAATGCTACAAAAATTTCTGCTTGAATTTCATTATAAAGTACATTTATACACCCAAACTATCAACTACAAAATTAGAAAATGGCTTAGTGATTACAAGTATAGAAAATATTTAAAAACAAAAACTTTTTTTTTGAACTTCATTCAATTTTAGAATTCAAATTCGAATAAGAGACTATTGCATTGTTTTTCAATCAACAAAGTGGATAGATAATTCCTTAATTTTCTTATAATAGCCTTTATTCAAAACAAATTTTATATTTACACGCATTTACATGAAAATGCTTATTGTAAGAAAAGGTCTTCCCTATCTTACAAACCTACTACGTTGTAATTGAATCAAGGTAAACAGCTGCGTTCTTTTGAAAAATCTAATTTAATATAATATAAGTGAATTTTGATATATAAATCTTCGAGCCTTGGTAAGTGGCGAATCAGTTCGAATAATTGCTGAGTTTTGCAAGGCCCTACGGGTAATTTCTTGATGTTGGACGACACGATGAATATTTTATTGACATCAATTGACACGTGAAAATCCAATTTACATTTATTTAATGAAGGAATCTGCAGTACAGTTGCTCAAATATCAAAGATTTCATTTCAATCTTCAATTTCTCCAGTATCAATACTTAACGAAGACAACAGTTTCAGTTTTGGTAAACCTGTGATAATATTATTTAACTACACCAGTTTTATTGAGATTAGTATAATCTGAAATATTCAGAGAAGCGTATAGTTGTCATAGAATCAGCGTGAGCAAAGACCGTAGCTAGAGAAGGGGACGAGAAAAGGGGTAACCTATCCACTAGTTTTTGTCAGACAAATGAGTCTGTAATAAACGAATAACTTATCGATCGTATTCCAACAGATTCTGTTAAATTGAATAATGATATGAAGACATCTGTTTGATCTATTCACTGTCGCGCTATTTTTGTTTGCCAATGTTAAAATAACTGCTTTATTTGGAATGAACTAAAAAAACTCAAATACTGTTAGTTGTTCACGAAACTACAATACACGACTATGCTCGTAACTAACGAGGGAACCTATTCAAGCGTTGGATCTTTTTTTTCTGGAAATGACTTTTTGAGATAGGATTTTTCTCCTCGTTAGGTTGCTATAGTTCACCGACTTTTTATTATGACAAAGCAAACATGGATTAACATGGACAGGGAATTTTCTGTAGACAATACTACTATGAGGCGAATACTATGCTGTGGCCGAATGACACCTCATTCTCACTTCAAAGAAAAACACGTATTTCCTGATAAAAAACGCGTTTCAACGGATTTTCCACGCACTTATTGTATCAGGAAAACGCGTTTTTTTTCAACGTCTCGCAAAAACAAGCCGACGCGTTTAACGCATAAACAGCGTTTTTTAAAATAAAGTTTGCGTTTCGATGCATTTTTTCGTGGGGGTACCAAAGGCAAAACGATGTCGAAAATTTTTTCTGAAGTACCCCGATCGCGAAGTTATCGCGTACTACGTAATCAACCATGGAGAAGACGAATCTGCAATCGGTTTTGATCGAACAAGCTTTTAAAATTTTTCGATCCTGTGATATGCTTTGTCTCATCGATATTTCAAAATAACTCTGTATCTTCCACCTGTTCCAGTGAATGATGAACGTCCCTAAATCCGCTGACTATGATTATATTCGAGCTTTTAATGACATCATTATTTTGTTTACTGATGATGATGATGATGACAGTAAGTCATCGAAAGCTCTCGAATAAAACGTCAACGGACGTTTGAGCGACCGACACTTGAGCGATCTCGACATCTGAGCGACCGACATTATCGCGAACAGGACCCCGACTCTTCCACGAATTTTTCGTAGTACATATTTGGGTATTTTTGGTAGTGTTTCGTGGGAGGTGGGGGTGTGGGCAGTATGAGAGTGAGTTCAAAAAGTAGTTTCACACAAAACATGTAATCATCGTGCGAAACTATATGTCTGTAACTGTATCACATACTGCCCATTCACCGCATAACTTCGCTTAGATATCTTGTCGATCGCTCAAGGGTCAGTTGCTCAAATGTCGGCGCTGAAATGTCGGTCGCTCAAACGTCGGTTAATTATTATTTCAACATACCTACTTTCATCGGGAATGGCCCACTAAAACGCAAATGTTTTGTAATCTGTTCCTCAAGCATGTCATTCGATTAAATGTGGTAAAAGAAGATGAAGAAAGAAAACGTTTTTCTTCTAGTGTATTTGAGGGAAAAGTATGATGTTATTATTTATTCTTTTCTTCAGCATATGTACTATACTCGCTCTGATTGAATTCATTAATTTCTTTTAAAAAAGATTCTGACTTATTTCCTTAATGCAATTTACAAAAAGCACCTTGGATCACATATGAGAAGCACAAGTTGAAAAGTACTTGTTGTTTTCGTTTCAGCCTTCTTTTTACATCATGTGTTTTGTCATAAGCAGGTCATATATTTATAGTGACCTTACTCTTTCTCTCTGTTCTACTGATGTCATTAGTCCGGCAAGTAGTAAATGACATATTCTTTGCTATTCTTCTTGTACGTCAGGAACTAATGATGTCATGTTCTGACCAGTTCTTCTAATGCATTAGGCCTTTTCTCATCCGTTCTCGGATGCCCGACGACAGCTGTGTTTTTTGTGACTGTAAAGCATACGACTTGTCCAAGCGCGACGCTGTGACATTTTTGACACAGTAATTTGAGCTTTTCTCAAAAAGTGTAAGAGCTAGAAACTTCGTTCTTGCGCCACTCAACGCAGCTTGCCATATACTCTACTTATGGTATAAAAATGAAGGTCTGTGGTTAAAGACTCGAATTTTTAGAACCGTTTTTCGACGCGTGACGCTGTGAGAAAAAAAGGCCCTAAATTCGAAGTGCCTCTCATTAAAATCTAATTTGTTGCTAATTTAGAAGAACTAATAAAAAGCGCCTCGAGCAAAGTTTGTAGAGGAGTAAGCGAGCTACTGATTGCTAAAAAAGGATCTTTCCAATGAGCTTTCCATCCCTCAATAATTGTGTTTTATCGTCGTGACACTGTGACACTCGTTTTTCTCAACAAAGTTTGAAGCACTAAACAGTGCTCAAAGGATTTCATTTTCACGTCAGACTTACTTTTAGGTATCCAATATAGATTAACGCGGAATAAAGCTGAAAAAATGTTTTCACTTTCTCAGAATTATCTGAGAATCTTAAAACTTATTAAAAAGTATCTAGGTGAGGAAATTGAAAATACAGTTTTCAAAAAATGTAAAACTGGATTTTTGGCGCCAAACTTTAACTTTTTTAAAAAACTAATGTGAGATTCGTAATCAGCGCCAAAAGCTGCATCTGGTGATATGCTCCTCTCACTTCTACTCTAAAAAAGTTTTTTTCAAAAGCTGCATCAGCGAAGTCTCGAGTTACGTGGACAAGCCATTGGATTGATCGAAATAAAGCAAAGAGCAGACGTAGAAAATACTTAATTTAATCGTGACTTTCATCAGAAGCGTCGTGGTTGTATCACAGCTGTGACTTTTCATTGTGACGTGGTTGTTTCCCTTTGCATCTGAGAGTATATAACGGATGGACCAGGTTAAACGGGAAATTTTTTCGTCTTTTCTGATCCCATTCCCTAGGATTCCAAGCACTCATTTTATGCTCAATCGGTAGAAAAAGGATGGGGGTCGATAAGAGGCAAAATTGGCCCCCTTTCAGATCAAGCTCATATTCATATCCACATGTCTGATGTAGTTTTTCACCGTGATTAAAACTAGCATCTCAAAAAAACCATTTTCACACCACTCGATAGAGAATTTCACGGGCTACGAAATGATATGTGAAATGTTGAGACCAAATTGGGCCTGGGTGTCCTAACTCTATAAATACTATTCGAGCGTGATGTTTTCAGCATCGACGGATAGGCTAAGTCCGTAGGAACCCAAGCACCATTTACATCGACCTTTGACATCAGTCATCTATCTCATATTATAGAGCTCAGCAAGCTGAATCGAATGGTGAAAACCGCAAGTGTATAACCGTGTTAGAAAAAGAGCTATAGCCATTTTACACTCGCAGCAGAAAAATGCAGTTTTGTCCTTTTCCGACGGATTTGATCTAACTTGTAGAACGTCTGCTGACCACATTACCCAACGTAGAACCTTGAAGTTGCTTTCAAATGAAAGAGCGCGTCGAGTTCTATATATTTCGACAGAGAATAGTTATGCTACACCTCGAAGTCTTGAGACTTTTATCATCACCTAGTCAGCTTTAAGGTCATGGGCTAAATAAAATGACTACTACGAAACCACATTGATTACAGGGATCAAAACTTAGTAGACACCCTTTATGATGGAACTAGCATGGTTACATTACACAAGGAAAACTTCTAAAAGTCTTCTTTAGACGACTAATTGTAAAATTAAATAAATCATTCATTTGGCTTTGAAACATCTTCTTGTGGATTACAATTGAGTGTCGTTTTCTATATCATTGATTTATCCACTTGAAAATCTGGAAACACGGATCTTTGATTATTTTTTAAAAAATTTGCGTTCACGAGCGCTAAACGTTTCTGTGTCTCAAAGTTTTCCAATGGGTAGGTTAGAAATAAACATAATTTCTCATATTCTATTGGCTGTCAACGACTATTCATTGAAGAATTTTTTATTCAAAAAGTACAACATAATAAAGATAAACAGACAACATCATTTAAACGACAGTTACGTGAATAAGATATCTAAGACCATCTTCTTTAACCTCATCTACTCGAAAATTTGTTCCTGTTTGTAAAAGAACTTCTTCTTCATAGGGATATTCTGAAAGATGTGTAATATCAATTCCGCTTCCATGCCTTGACATAGCAAGGAAATTAATCACAAATAATGTATTTCCAAAAATTTCTGCTTCTCCACGAATTTTACTTGTTGAGTTAAATGCAAGCCACGCTTTATATTTACCTATACTTGCTTTATAATCACTTATTTCCTCTCTAGTCAATGTCATACCTCTATATACTGTACTTGTATGGAAACTAGGACCAAATCCTTGTGTATAATTCATTAAATTTATATAATAACAAAATGCACCTAATGTATCTACTTTACTTTTGTCTTCTTCTCTTAATGCTTTATTTATTAGTTTATAAAGAAACGTTTCTTTCGTGTAAAGATGAATACAACGTTTAACTATTTCATGTTGTTGTTTATCTTTTACTTCTCTTAACTTTCTTGCTAAATATAAGGCTTCTACACGTTTTCCAAGGTTTAAACCTTCCTGATATATTCCTTTTGCTGCTTGTTCAACCCATTTTGGATGGTCATCTTTATCTTTTTTGTTTTTAATAAGCCATTCAGCAATAATAAAACAAAAGTGTTGTTGATCACTATCTGATTTGATAGAACGACTGATTTGAGGAATGGAAAAACGTTCTTCACGAAGATGTCTTGCAGTTGGATCAACTAAAATTCTT